CATCCCGTATGTCAGCAATGAGAACCTGTCCTGAACACTGTCTGCATGTCTAGACATCCCATTAGAGTTCCTCCTCCTCAGTACAACCAAACATAGAAAAGGCCTGCCTCTTTCCTAGAAGGTTATTCATAAAACCATGGATTGTTCAGGACTGAAAGCAACTGTAATGCCCATACACCCAAGATACCTGTCCTCTCTGTAAAATGTCTGAAAGGTATTTTTCCAGCCTATGCTGACACTACAACATGACATATGACTTTATTTTCCAAGAGGTGCTTCCATTTCTAGACAGATTTGACCATGAACAAGTTGTTATACTCTAGCAAGAAATAACTTTCTGGAGCTTTCATTAATTTTCTGGATAATTAAAAATCCCAAATTTCTCTAGACATCACCGATCCTCCTAATTTGTTGATCTAGACAGTCCGATGCCTCCGGGTCACTGAAAACATGTCTTTGTTTCTTACTTCTTCCTGGTCTCTAAACCTGACTTTCCAGCTTTTCTAGTTTTGACTCTAACTATATTCTTTCTATGGCTGTCACTTTAACAAGTAATTTATAAAAGGAAACAAGATTAAGAATCTGATAGATTTTCAAGTAGTTGGCCATCACTAAGTACCTAATCTTTGCTTTGCTAATCTAAATACTAATTTTTGTATCTGTTTACTACAGTCTTGGGTTGGATAAAGAGACTTGGGCTTTCTTCTGATGTAATGGCATTCAGGTTTCTTGTTTGTAAAGTGAAGGTGCTGATGGTCTCTAAATTCTTTTCTATTTTTTAAACTCTGTAGGAATGCTGATGAGTACATGTTGAACAACAAGAAAACAACTTGACTTAACTACTTTCAACAGATATCAGTAAAATTATTACCAAAAAGATATCATGGGAAGGTTCATACCATCTAATGATATTTCATATGTGAGTTGTCAAATGGATTAGAAAATATTAACAAACATATGTATAATGACAATATATATGGTATGGGAATTAAGTTGGTATATAATAGGTTAATGGAAAAAGAAATAGAAAGCTAGAGAAAATGGAACTATTTGAATTTTAGTCCTGTCTTATCCTTTAAAATTTTCTAACCTTTGATTAAAAGAACTGAACAGTGAGAAAAATAAAATGATTCTTATTTCAGCAGAGCCCATAGCAAGAACTCATTGTGCATTACTGCCTTCTTGAATATTTTTCCAGGCATAAATATATGCACTGCAAATCAATAGCATTCTCCCTTACCAAAAAGAATATGGGTTTCTTCTTCCCCCACATGTAACAGCTAGCATAAAAACAGCATTTACTAAAAGTTGAATAATAATGAAACTTTGTTTCATTATTAAGTTTAACTTTAGGAGGTTTAACTTTAGAAAGCAACAATGTTGAAGATGCACCCAAAAAGCAAATTCTACGAGATTGAGAATATAATGCAATTATTCCCCAAATCTAAAAACAAATATTGAAATTAATGTAATTTAAATAAGTAGAGACCCCAAAAAGCAATTCTGGAGCTTATTGTGTTTCAGGAAGGCACAAAAACTCCTATATATATGCAGCTTCCCAGTTTGGGCTTTGTAAAAGCTATGTGATCTATATTTCTATCCATTATTTGCTTTCCTGCCAATTCAATTGCATATTCTCTCAGTCTCTCTCTGTCTTTGTCTGTCTCTGTCTCTCTCTCTCTCACTCTCTCTCTCCCTCCCTCCTTCCTTTTCCCCCTTCAGTTCATATTATTTATTTTATGCATTTTCCTAACACCAGAATATATAATCTATGAATAACAGTGTTATATATCAGTTGTATTTTTATATGTAGAGGATTACACCAAAGAGTTTACTATCAATTTTTTTTCTTTTGAACTGCATTAATACCTAATAACTGCATAGCTTCTGAACTGAAATGTCAAATACCTTACATTAAAGAAACTTATGGTTTTTTCATAAACTATGGAAATTCTGTCCACACAAGCATCAGGCTCTAAAAGGAGAAGCTAATAGATAGGCTGCATATGTATCCTCTTTGCTCAAGTCTCTGAAAAGAACATGAAATAAGCCCCCAAAGAACATGATTCCGAAGTGCTATAAAAGCAGAAATTTCATTTAGGAAGGCTTCTAGTTTGTTTGTTTGGGGTAGACTTTTCAATTGTGCTGGGAGAAGTGGTAGCACCACTGACTACAGAGAGAATAATTGCACCAGGACATGCAGACATCTGCAGTTGTTTAGGGAACCAAGAAGAAAATATGTACAAACAGTGTACCCAGAGATAAGCTAGAGAGCCAAGACTGAAGCGGGAGTCTATGATTTGTACTGTGGGACCTGAGTACAAAGCATAAGATAAGGATAAGAGTCTCATCTGCCAGGGATTAGAGTTTAGTGACTGATTTAGAGGGGCAACCAAGCCACAGGATGATATAAAACTCTTCACCATACATTGTAGAACATGTAGAGATAGCATTTCTCTAAGGCAAGGATAGGCAGCACCTCAGTGTATGGTGCTAGCAGTTAGACGATGACAGGATATGAGATAACCATCTTCAACTTGATCAAACTAGTGGCAAAACAGTGTCCGCTATTACCAAGTGGTACCCATTACTAGGCCAGCTCTCAGACAAAAAAAATAAAAGTGGTGTCCTTTCCCCTCAAAATACTGCTTCTTTATTGCAAAGACACCAAGAGCTAGGGATTTAAACTGTATTACTTTTGATTGCAGGTAGTTTATTTGGGTTTATTTGGGCATGTAGTTTATCTGGGCAGTGCAAGCTAAGTATCCATAATTGGAGTTTCTCTTGGGTTCTACTGTTTCCGATCAATTTCTTATGAAGAATGAGCTCAGAGGGAAACTATAATCTCCCCAAGGTACAGCTTGCTATTAATATGTTGTTCAGACTCCATCAGAAAAAGTCCAAGTGTTGGTCGTATTATCTTGATAAGTTCTCTATATAAGTTCTGAGGTGCACCTTGACGTAAGGAATCACTGTGTGGGCCAAATGTTCTTTTCTCAAGATAGCTCATAAGCAACTGGATAAATTTGCATTAGAAATTCAATTAACTTTATATTAAAAGGTCAATTAACTGGGCCATGATAGGGATTGTTTTTAATTACCTTTCCTTGTAAGGCATCTCTTCTTGTCTAAGCACAAGTGATACTATCAAATCACAGTCTCATTGCCTTTGCTTGCTTAAACTTATATGGGAAACATGCTGGAAATGACTGTCTTAGTTACATGAATTGATAGGATACTCTTGTTTTTTAAAAAAAGAAAAGAAAAAATAACAATAAAACAGTTTCAAAACAGGTTAATAGGAGAGTTACAATAGTTAGTACACTGCATATTGTCTTTGTAGTAGCTATTTAGAGTACAAGATATAGGCATGATATCTTATAGGACACTCTTTAGGCAGTGTATCACTATTAAAATCCTTCGAGCTTTTAATATCAGTAAGCAATAAAAGAGTGCTTAACTTATTTTCTCTAATATTATTTGTGACCATATCTTTTGTTATTTGCCTTTATTATTTGTTAGTTTCTAGTCTTCTGGTGTATGCTGATAAAGTAAACTGATTTTAAGGATTAGTTCTTATTACATTATCCAGTGTCAGTGTATTTTACATAGTCTTAAAAAACTAGATATACCATTTCAGTAGAGAGCAAAAGCTTTATGAGCCATTAGAACTCACTCATGAGCCATTAGGACACTTAGACTTATAGGATTGTCACGTGGCAGCAAATAAGGAGTGGCAATACAGTGGCCACGGTTATCAAGTGGTACCCATTACTAGGCCAGCTCTCAGACAAAAGGAAATGATATATAAATAAAGATATATACGGATTATATGTTAACATGTTAACTCAGACTTCCAGGTGACTAGCAACAAAATTACTATTCAGGATTGACATGAGGCAGTCTTGAAATAAAACTTCACGTTTTTTTTTTTGCAGAAGGGAACAGCCTTTAACAAATAGGAGCACTAACAATGTGTTAAGGGCTTTATAAATGTTACAGAAACTATTATTTCTACAATCTGATGAGGTAGAATGTATTATTCTCAACTTTAGCTTATGTTTCAGCTAAGGTCACACAGATCACTAGGGGCAGATGGAAACAATAACACCTTCACCCTGCCCTTCCAAGGTTTACACTTTTCCTTAGGATAAAAGCAGTAATTGTATGAGGATGAAAAACATGAAATGCTTATAAAAAGGGATTAGGGGATGTTTTGAGGGCTTACAAGGCAGTTTTGGAACTCAGAGAAACAGAATACTTTAGACCAGTGGAATTCAACAACGGGGTCCAAAATAGTGTAAAATAACTACGTCATTAAACATTTTCTCCCCATAGTGAGAGCCTGTCAATGAAGGGAGCATCAACTTACATTCTGGTGGATGTCTACAATCCCCTCATGGATCAGTAACAGTTTGCAAACCAGTAACCAGTCTATTCTGGTATACAGTCTATTCTGCATACAATAGTATACAGGCTATTCTGCATACAATAGTATACAGGCTATTCTGTAAATGGCACAAATTTCAGGAAATTCTCATGAAATTTTTTACCTTCCTATGAATGTCATTTTGGATAAAGCAAACCTCAAATTTATCCTGTCTGTTTTTCTCTACACTATGGATAACAGTGAAGGATAATGTCCTAAACCCTACAGGTCTGTATGAGTGTCTTGATCTTAGTTGAAATGATAGTAATAGGCTGCCTGCCTTCTCTCCTTCTTTCCTTCTCCCTTCCTTCCTTCCTTCTCTTCTTTTTTTTTTTGAGTTTGGATCTTACTGTGTTGCCCAGTATGGTCTTGAATGCCTGGGCTCACCTCAGCCTACAAAGTACTAGAATTACAGGTGTGGGCTGCCATTTACAACTGGTACTGGTAGCTTTAATAAGCCAATTTTTTGCAAATCACAAAGGAAAAAAGCTTTTGTAAAGAATGAGCAATGGCTTTCAAATAGCATGATGTTTGCAGTGGAATACAAGTTTTTTTTAAAAAAAATCCATACCTGCACCTCCGCCTATGCTCAGAATCTTAATTTCTGATTTTGCATCTCCAATCCTGAAAAGTAAAAGTACATTGTTTAAGAAAAAGGTATTATATGCTTTTAAAAAATCTTATTATTAAGTCTATTTGAAAAGAGCAGAAAAAATGCACAACAAATGGAAACTTGGTCAACATGAAAAGTCCCAACCAATTCAGTGGTTACACTGCTATCTTTGGAGTACCTTTAAAAATATAGAGTCCTTTCATCAATGACCTTGAATGGGAAGACTTAGAAACAGTAGGAAATAACATTTATTCAGAAATTTATTAAAGAATAGGGACAGAAAATGTACTCCTGTGGGTCTCATGATACCCTAAACCATTCATCATACATGGAGGAAAGGAAAGGGAGGTTCACGGATATCTGTACTCTAAGTGGCACAAGTTTAAGGTCTTCTCACTTTCCTTCTTTCTACATTTCTTTCAACAAAGAAATGTTTATTACTCATTTATTATGTACCTGTTCTAGAATTGTGTCTTAAAAATGAGTAAGATAACTACCTTTCTCTCAAGTTAAAATGGGAGATCATAGAGCTCTCAATTATAGTTCTAACACTGGAGATAGAGAGGAATAGATGAACTGGAAAGGAAGTCAGTGTGACTGCTTGTAGATGGATATGAAAGGGTCAGGAAAGCATAGGAGCACACATATGCTTGTGAAGAGAGGGGTAGGGTCAATTATGTACTCTGGAGAATTAGCATTAAAAAGCAATGGTCAAAACTAGGTAAGCATACCCTACCACCCAGTGACACTGCCTACTTAGAAAAGCAGTGTGGTGATAATGCAGTGGCAGCTCTTACCAGTCACTAGATTATGAGGAATAAACATAAGAGTCATAGAAGGTATAGGATAAATTTCAGATAGCTACCAGGAGGATGAAAGAGAGCCATCAGTCGTGTCAAAGGCAGCAGAGTGAATCATAACTAAATTAATTAAAAGAAAAGTCCCTCATGAACTTGGCAATGTGAATGTCTTTGACAATAGCAAGTTTAAAGCAGGACACCTGTCAGATAGCATTAAGATTAAATATGACCTCAATAAAGAGGGAGAGACCTACAGTCTGCTGAAACAGGATGTAAGAATGAGAAAAAAAGAGGTGACTAGAAGAAGGGAAACACAACTCATAATCATGAGGCTTAGTATACCCATTTCTATCTATCTAAACTTTGTATTCACTCTTAAAATGTGTTTGTCTCTGAGTAGCATAGGGAAGTGATAAAGCAGAGAATCCAGGCTGAACCTCAGCACCCTGAAATGTTACCTTGAGCAAGTTATAAGATCTCCTTGTGGAACAGCATAGAATTGTTAATAATTGTGTTATGGCTTGTATCTAGTTGTACCCTGAAAGCCTCCTGCAGTCATAGATGGGGCTTTCCCAGAGGTAGCTAGATCTAAAGCGTGTGATGCCGGAATTGATTCATGGTGCAATGCTAGGATCAAGGGCACTAGGATTGAGAGTGTGAATGCTACCTATCCTAGGTAACCTGGATAAGATAAAAGGGGAAGAAAGATGCTGTTAAGGTCCTCTGTTTGTTTTGCTACTTTCTGCCCACCATGAACTGTTTCTCTTCTGCATGCCTGTCTGCCTACTACCTTGCTTTGGAACCAGCAGATTATGAACTGAAATCTATAAAATGTGAGCTAAATAAACCTTTCCTCCATTAACTTTGAGTCTTGGGTATTTTGTCTCAGCAACGAGAAAAGTAACTAAGGCAAAATTTGGTACCAGAGAAGTGGGGTGGTTGCAGTGACTGTACCCAATCATGTGGCTCAGGAGCCTTTGGGAATGGTTTGTGGGAAGAATTTGGAAAGGTTCAGAGATACTGGCTGAAAAAGTAGAGCTTGAATGCCTTAGGTAGTTCTGTATGGGAGATTCTGGTCAGAGTTCAGATGACCAGAAGGCTGATTGAAATCTTGCTGGTAAAGATTAGGCTCAGGCTTCTGCTGGGAAGAAGGACTGAATTAGCTGGTGTATTACAGATGATGTATGCTATAGCTTAGCAAAAAGTTTGTCTGCATTTTGCTCATGTCCAGAGACTTTGCCTAGGACTAAGATTAAGCATGATGGACTAATTAATCTGGCAGAAGAAATTTCAAGGCAGTCAAATGTTGAAGCAGTAGCATGGCTACTGCTGGGGACTTTTAGCCAGACTTATGTTGAGAATCAGGAGCAAAGGGAACAGCAAAATGATTTAAAATGTTGTGAGTTTGGCCAGGAAGGAAGATCCAGTAGAGCTGTAGCCTAAAAGGAATAGAATAAAGAATATCTTGGTTGCTGAGAAGGAATAGGAAAATAGAAAAAACAGCCTGAGGGCATCACAAGAAACAGCAGGATTCTACCCTTTGCAGCCTTAAAACTGCAAAAGTGAATGACTTTGCTTTGAGAAGAAAGCCCCAGAAGGCCATGTTCCAGAATGGCAGCAGCACAGAGAATTTGTGCCTCAGAATTGGATTCAGAGAGTTCAGCGATTCAGGCACTTGACCCCTGCAGCAAAGAGGGAAGGAAGCCTGGCTAATGTTCCAGCTGGCAGCAGACCTTGGTATCATCCACATGGTGCTAGTTTTAAGTGCATGCAGAATGGAAGAGCTGTGTGGTCAGGGAAGCTTGCACTCAGATTTCAAAAGAAGGCCTGAGAGGCCAGGCAGTGTGCCCCTGAGGGCAGTATGTGAAGTTATGATTGTGAAACCAAAGGTACAGTGGAGTTGCCAGAAGTTTGGAGAAGCCAGGAACATGAGTATCTGAGGAAACCTAAAAGGAGGGAACAGATCAGGCCCCAAAGAGAAACCATGAGAGCTATAACCAGCAGAAGTGCTGTGCGGGTGGAAACACTCAAGCCCTTTGGAGGTTCACATCTTGCCAAAGATTGCTCTGCATGCTGGACGTGGAACTAAAGGATTTAATGTTTTCCCTGTTGGATTTTGGACTTGCTTTGGTCCCATTCCTTTGTATCCCCCATTTGTAAATTTTGGAATGGAAATGTCTCTCTTGTGCCATTGAATGATGGATGTGTTTAACTTTCTTTTCATTTGTACAAAGGCCCACAGCTAAGAATTTGCCTTAAATCTCAGAGGAAACGTTTGACTTGAACTTTTCAGCAATGCTGACACTGTTAGGACATTGGGAACTCTTGGAGATGGACTAAATGCCTTTTGCATAAAAGGATGCACATGAGTCTTTGGGGGTCTAGGGCAGGAATATTATAGTTTGTATCTAGATGCCACCCCCCAAGCCTCATGTTGTGTAATAGGCTTTTTTTCCCTCTGGAGATTGCTGAATCCAGAGTGTGTGATTGACTTGTAGTGAGATGCTGGGATCAAGGGTATTGACATTTAAGGGTGGGTGATTTTGGGATCAGTCCACTGCTTTGATTGGCATTGGCCTAATCCTGGTAGACTAGATACAATACAAGGCACAGAAAGAGGCTTGTTTGCTCTCTCCTTCCTGTTGCTTTTGCTGTCTTCCACTGCTATGAACTGTTACCTCTCTGCCATGTGCCACCCTACCTCAGAGCCAGCTGATTATGGAAAGAAACCTCTACAAACTGTGAGCCTAATAAACCTTTCCTCCTGTGACTTTGGGTGTTGTGTACTTTATCTCAGGAAGGAGAAAAGTAACTAAGACAAATGTTTATTTTTTTTCAGGCAATAGTATAAATGCTGTATGTGTAACAATAATACAATTTACTGTTTTAGCTAAAACTACCCTCCAACCCTACTACATCTTCTAACTCCAGATAGGGGATGTGAAAATTCTTTTCTGGGGGAACAGAGATGTATTGATAGGGATCAAGTGAGGCAACCTTCCATAATAGAAGGAGCCACTCACTCAACAAACCCTCCCCTTACATATAAAAATAAGATCCTAACTACTTTTAGTGACCTGTCATTTTGTATTAGGGAGGCAATCATGGCTCATCAGATGGCTGGAGTTCTCTTCAAACATGAGACTAAATTACTAAAAAAAAGGGGAGCTCAAAGAGTACATACAGAGAGTATAGGAAAAATTTGTAATAGTTAAGAGAAGGTATTACATACACATGATGAAAAGGATAATAAAAAGGGCACTATATAAAGGAACATTCTTGGAAGTTAAAAACAATGATAGATGAACTAAAACATAAAGTTGTAGAAAACCAGATTATAGAAAAACTAGGGAAGCGATGTAGGAGGTTTGATGTTTGATAATAAATATTCCAAATACACAAAATAGAAAAGAGGAATGATTCAACTCTACTGAAGTTCCCCAGACCTGAAGGCTCTGAATTTATATTGAAATGACTCATAGAATACTCACAAAGATGGATGAAAAAAAATCCACCCCATAATTCAGTATCTTATAATTTCAGAATATGAGGAAAAGATACTAAAAGTTTTAAGGTAGGGTAAACAAACCAAGCAAAAACTTCAAAAAGACTATACATCAAAACTGAGGAAACCGAATGACATTGGATGTCTTAACTCTAGTAGTTAACAGATAACAGAAAAATACCTTTACATTTATGATATAAAATCATTTTCAGTACCAAGCATTATACCCAGTCAACCTATCTAACAAAGATGAACAGAAACAGGCATTTTAAACATACCAAGTCCCCAAAAGTTTGCTATTTGTTAACACAATTATGTGCTCTGCCATTAGGGAATCAAATACTGGAGAAAAGAGAATTTCTAGGAAGTAAAATAAATTCCCTCATCAGTAGCTACATAACTGGCCCAAAGAAAGTCTTCTCAGACTGGAATAAGAAACAGAAGCCCCCTAAAAAGATGTTTTCACAGGGAAAAACAGATTACTTGATGTGTTTAGATATACCGAGAGGTCAGTAATACATCTGCTTGGGCATAAATGTACTGATAGACACATAGAAATCTAAGAAAAGAAACTAAAATCAAGAAAATCATAGTCAGATCTAAGAAAAACACAAAACTATACATGAAAGGAAGTGTAAATAGTATAACTTGCTCAAATGAGAATAATATATTCATAGGCAAAATGACATAAAAGCCCTATTATTCCTCGAAAGATTTTTGACATAAATACATTGACATAAACACTTGGGGAAAATGTGTATGTTTATTTAGCTATTTTAATATAGTAAGATTAAGAAATAGAAGACAAGCATAGCGTTTAGAACGATGAAAGAAAACTGCATGTGAAGCAAAGGCCTTTGAAGGGTGGGAAGGGCTGCTTCTGCAGAGTAAGAATCAGTTGGCATGCGGGACAAGGGACCGATATTCCTTGTTGCTGTTCTTACAGTCTTTCTGGAACCATTTAACTTCTTAAAGGCCTGAGTATGCCTTGCTTTAATGAAAATGTTAAAGTAAGTAGGCCACGTCCACACCCAATTAATAGCCAAGTCCATGTGTAGTTACTTAGCAAGCCCCCACTCCACAAACCCTGCTTTTGTGCCAAGGCAGATGGAACCCTTTCCCCGGTACCTCATAACTTCTACAGAAAGCCAGGCAAAAGAGTAAAAGACCCTTCAACTGAGTCTAATTTCAAATACTTCTTTTAGGAAAAAATTACTTTCTTAGTAAATGACATTTTGATTAAGATACTCCTAATTATGCATTATCATTTTAATGAAAAATTAATTATGATTGAAAATTCCTCAGTTTTCCCCAAAATTTACATTCAGCATTCATTTCAGCTAGACTGGGAACACTTGGCCCACAGGGCAAGGGCCATCATTTATCACTGGTTACACTGTCTCCATCCACTGTACCTTGCAGAATGAGTTCTGCCGCTAAAGAAAACCCAGGATCTGGATAAGCTACAGAAATGAATGCATACTTAGGAAAAGAATGTAGAAATTAACTTACCATCTTTCATTTTCAAATGACCCCCCCCCCCCAAAAGAAGTAAGCTAAATTAGTTCCTAGATCAGAAGTAATCTGTATTTGATATCTGCTTTGATTTTTGTATCACTTTCTTATTACATGTTCACTTTTAATATGTAATACTCTGAAACCAATATCTAAAAGGTGAACCACATAAAACAGAAAATAGGAGGTGAAATTGAATTCTATATACACTTAACAATGTCTGCTCCGGTCAGGCAGAGGCACTGGGGTGGTGAAATAATTTCAGGCCTAGGAGAGAAAAATTCAGCCAAAGATAAAATATCAGGTTCCTTTGCTGTTTGCAAATTGGATCTGCAGTCAGTCATTTCTTCCCGGTTTTCCATCATTATTTCCTGGAGCAGAGGGAGTTACAGCAATTCATCCCCAGATAGGTGATGTGATTATCTTTAGCATGTGGAATCTGTTACTCTCCTAATGCTTATCAGCTCTGGCACAAATTGAACACATTAATCACCAATAAAAGGAGTCTGTGAGAAGGATAAAAAGTAGGGACTTTCACTGATAATGGGAAAATGCTCTTTTTTTGAGGACCGCATTGCTAATACTAAGTTAAAAGTAAAAGCCTTCTTTTTTGGAATGATAATGGTAATAATGGGTAAAGACAGACGAATTTAAATAGATATTATGAGAACTGAGACAGGCGCCCGCTGGATCCTCAGGGACAAATAGTATTGGCAATTATTTATATTTCTAATGAGAAGACTATCACATTCTACTTGGGGCTTTTTTGAAATGTAAAAGTTGGACGAGGGATGAAAGATCAGAGTTCAAAAATTGGTATCTTATCTTTTCCCAAACGAATAAGGCTTTGTGCCTTCAAATGGTTAACATTCACCTCCGTGCAAGTGGAAAGAACAGCACAAATCAGAGCCTCTGAGTGTTTAAAGCAAACATCTAAGCCGGCACCGCAGGAAGCAGGCTGAAAGGGGTGACGGGTGGGGGTGGGGGGATAGGAGTGACTCGCCCTTATCCCTGAGCCCAGCTTGCAGGGCTGGGCTGGGTCCATCTATCACGGCACACAGCACTGGGCTTGTCCGTTTGACAGAAAACGTCCCCTTTTGTTACCTTGCTATTATGCCTGGCAGCTGCTTGTCCATGAACTCCTGCATGCACTGGTGTTCCGTGGAATTGCTGAGAAAACTCCGAAAAGCTTCGAAGTATCTGCGGTGATCAGACAACAAGCTCCTCATGGAAGATGCCATTTTGTGTTCTCTAAGGAAGACAGGGAGGGAAACAACGTTTAACTTCCTCTCCTTCCCTTCCCAGTTCCCTATTTCTCTCCCCACCCCCCACCAGCTTCTATTTAAAGAAGAAGAATGAAGAAGGAGGAGGAGAAGGAAAAGAAGAAGTAAAAAAAGGAGGAGAAAGAGACCTTGCTTTGAATTTAATATGTATTCAAAGCTGGTGAGGAGAGCTTATTAAGTCAGTGTTTGTCCAGGATTTTGCACTGATATTTTAACCCTTGCAAGTTTTATCTTTTAAAATAAATATTAAACCAAAGTGGTGAATCCAAAGGTAAAACTTGTTCAGAAAGTTCCTGAAGTTCCTGAAGTTCAGAAAGATATAAAAACAGATTGCATTCAAGTCACTTCCGGTTTTGTCAGCAGCTGCCGCAAGTTAAGTTCCAAGTGGGAAAGTGGCTTTTTAAAGTGACAAAACACTGGGGTAAACAGGGCAGCGGAAACCCATGTATCCCAGAACCATTTTGAGAAATGTATAGCTGCTGCAGCCTTTGAGAAAAGACTGGCACCTGCTTCTGTGCTTTGCACAGAAGAGTTTTATGAAGTCACATCTCTCCACGTTTGAACCTTAAACTCACCTGTTCTATTTCTTTAAATGCTGGTAGACTGGTTGGAACTCAGGAAGTCTCTTATGTCAGAGAGTAGCCTGAGAACTATGAGCTAGAGGCTCATAGTTATGGGTTATAGTTGTTTAATACGTTTTCCTGAGCTCCCAGGCTCCTCTCTGAGTTTTAGGGCATAAAGACAGGAACTGAATCACATTTACCCTGTCAGGTTGCCCACAATAGGCTTTCAGTTTTTATATGATTAAATGTGTGCTTGAGCTATTCCGTTATTGAGATATCCTCTACTGTCAGATGTTCTTTGTCTTTTCATTAGTAAGTAGCTCTTAGTGTCACTAATGGCTGTAGTAATTCTAGCTATCAAGTACTTGCTATGTGCCAGGAATTGTGTGATTCTTCTCAAATACAGGATTTGCCTTTTGCAGTGCCTCTATGAGCTTCCTTACCCTACAGAGGGGAAAACTGAGTTTCTGAGAAGTTGCATCCTTTGTTCAAATATATCCAGCTGAGAAGCAGCAGGAATGATATATAATTCCAGGCTGTCAAACCCACTCACTGAAATCTTTATGTCCAGCCAAAATCTGAAACACTGTGACTTTAAATAGGACTTCTACTTCAGGTTACCTAAGCTGCATGGATCCATCCTTCCCCACGCAGCACTCACCAACAATTCTGAAATTAACTTTGAGGACAAATTTACTCCCTGAGGTGTCTACAGTTCCAAATTAGTCCTTTCATAGTGCTCTGCTCCCCTTATTAGGAAAATGATTGTAGTTTGTCTGGTTTGCTTAATTGTTTTTTTTTTTTTTTAAGGAACACAATGGACCAAAGGCTGCCTATCAAGTGTAGGATACTATCATTGTCTGAGCTTAGCTATTGTTTCCCAATGTTGTAACCAACCCAGGCTTTTAAAGACTTTATTAGATATTTTGCAGAAAGTATTTCCAGGATCAGTTAATTTAGAAGCACTGTTTTCAGTTGATGCTTCTGTATATTTATAACATGGTTAATATTAAAAGTTCATGTTCTTTTGTCACATGTTATCTTGAAATGTAGTTATATATACTAAAGGTCTACATAGTTTCTCTGAATAGTTTCATAGCCTCTCTCTCTCTCTCCCTCTCTCTCTCTCCCTCTCTTTCTTTCTCTCTCTCTCTCTCACATGCACACACACACACACACACACACACAGGGCCAGGCATGATGGTGCATACCTGTAATCCTGCCACTTGGAAAGCTGAAGCAGGAGAAGCACCAGGAATTTGAGGCCAGCCTGAGCTACATGTACATAGTGAGTTCAAGGCCAGCCTGAACTACATAGTGAGACTCTATCTCAACAACCAAACAAAACAAAACAAAACAAACAAACAAAAAAAAACAAAACAAAAGACAAATTATAAAAAGAAGAAAACTGTTGCATTTGGTGTTACTTGCATTTGATTAAATGCTGGTTTCAGCAATTACAATTTTTTAAACAATTTCATGCAGAACATTTTTTTTTAATAATCCAAAAACTATCTAGAATTTTCCTGAGAATTAAACCATCTAGCTGGCTAGTTGGAATCACCAAATCTTAGGAATCCTCCTTCTCCTCCTTTCTGAAAATTAGAGCATATGCTAGGACATCTATCTCTTAACCTGACCTCTCGAAGGTCAATGGCATTGACATCATTATTGCTTTTTTAAGTTTTTTTTTCAGCACACTGGGATGTAGAGTAATTCTAGTAGAACTTAAAAGGTTATCTACTTTAAGTTTTCTATTTTTTGGCCTATTTTGGGCTTTCATTCCCTGTTGTCTATTATTTACGAAACTATTAGTATATCAAGATGCCTTATATACATCATTTTATGTAATACTTCTAAACCTCTGGCGGTAGAACTATTGATATCATCAGGTGAGACACCAGGTAAGTTGTGCAAGATTGCATAACTCCTAAGAGAAGAGCCTGGATCTAAATCTATGTTTGATTATGAAGATCATTCTTTTTATAATAACGTAATATTTCTCATTTTGTACATTTTCACCATAGACTGTTTTTCATGTTAGAAAAGATTAGAACAAAGAAAAGTAGAGTTACTCTGCATTCTTCATATGATCTATTAGTAGGATCACAACTCTAGGTAAGAAACAAAAGTTTTCCCTTTTTTAACCTTGCTCTGTGTGCTGTACCAAAAATGTAAAAGAGATAGAAAGAAAAAAATAGCAAAATATTCCGGACCCATTTTGTTATACTTGGCACTCTTCGGCTAGCTGGCATTTAATCTTCCAAATGCTACTTCCACTGATGTGAGTACTTATCCTTCTCTACCCCATCTTTTAAATACCATAAAATCTCTCAATCAAGCATTACATCAATAAATAGATAGATTATGATAATAGCCAAATTGTTAAATCATCGTAATTAAATATTTCAAAGAATCCTATTTTCTGGACACAAATAGAGGAGGAAAATATTTGAAGTAAATTAATTGGTTTTATATGCTGATTCATCTAAATTCAGTAAACAGGGAGGGCCAGTTGTAGTCTTAAGGAGAAGTTTGAAATTACAGCACTTAGAGTTTTAAGCTTCGATTATACTGGTAGTTTCAGATAAGTATGACAGACCTCAGGAATCTACCTTTCTACAGGATATTTGGCTAAGTTTCACTAAGTGTAGAAATAAATTGAGAAAGAAAAATCTGAATGCACTGTAAGCTTAGCCTCCTATGATGATATAAATGGTCAAACTGCTCTATACATCTGTGGTGTGTTTGTTTCCATTCATAAAGATTTGAAAATAAGGTAGCCTACATGATCTTTAAGGTTCTTTTAAATTCTAACTAAATGTCTTCATCCTTTAAGAATGATAAATTATTGTGGCCTGGTGGAACTAAAAGTAGGTCTGTATATATTCATAGCCAGTACAGCCACTATATCCAAACACTACCCATAGACTATAAATGATAATTTAAAGGTAGTTTCCACATAAGAAGCACCTTGGCTTTATATCAAATATTGTTCAACAAATTTTATCAATGTGGCTTCCCTTAGTTCTTGCAGCTGATATTAATGCCAATAGCTTATTTTTAATGGCATGATTGTTTCAATTACTTGTATTAATGTAAAATTTGGGGTGATTTTTCTTAAATTTACTTTTAAAAAGACCCAAAACACACAATCAGGAATCAACCAAATCAAATGACAAAGGAGAAATATTTTGGTGATAATTAATTGAGAAGGAAGAGCATAGGTGGGTTGACAAATGGTGTTAAAAGCTACAGAAGAGCAGATAGTGCTAGAAATAGTCTAGCCGCATAAAGCTGACATAGTCAGCTAAGGATAGGAATAAGAAATAAGGATAATGGATAAAAAGGATAGAAATAAGAAAAACGAGACCAAATAATAGTCTAGAACTAATTTCCTATCTAATAATCCAAAAAGTTTTAAAGTCATCTGGAAAGGTCCAGACCTTACAAAGATAAAGTCTGATAAATGTTTAGATCCTGGCAAATTAGTAGATACTTGGCATTTCTCAAAAAAATTAATTTCATAAAACAATTCATCAAACAAAATTCACCTAAGAATCTATGTAAACTTTAGGGACTTCCTTAAGTAAATTTAAGGATGAATTGGGGCTCTGATGGAGGAAAACTGTTCAACTTAGAGGAATCTTTGTAAATCAAGGGAAAATGGGGTAAACAAACTTCTGCAGGACTTGGCAGGGGCGGGGGCCCATGAGGTCATGCCTAGGCTGGGATACAGTGTTTTCATAACATTGTACCTTGATACCTTGCACATGCATGATCCAAGATTGAGAAAGCTACACATACTTATGGAGCCCCAAAATCCTTCTAAAACTAGCATCCTTTGCAAATAAAAAACCCAAAATATGTCCACAATACCACCACTCAGATCAAGATATGGAATATTTCCTGCCTCCTAGAGGATTTACTCATGCTTTCAATAATCAGTACTACACCAACCCCTCAGATAATCACCTTTCTGACTGTTTCTATAGATTAACTTTGCCTGTTCTTCAGCTTTGTATAAAAAGGCTAGTTCAAAGACAGCAATGATATTAATTAGGCTCCGATGGTAAAATATATATAATTTAGTTCAGAAGAAATTTTTAATACTGAAAACTCATTATCGTAAAGATCTTTGAAGAGCTGAAAGTACAAAGAAAAATAAAGAAGAAACCCAAGACCGGATGTCTTTTCTTGTACCTGCAAGCACAAAGGCAGAACAGGGTTTTACTCAGGCTCCAGAGCCTGAGCTACCTGGGTAGGAGCTTGAAAAGGGACAGACACAGCTCATCTGGGAAACGCTACCTGAAAGGGAAGGAAATGGCAGAAGTACCAGACATCTCATCTCTTCCTATTGTTTTGTCTCTTCTGGTTTTCTTTTGTTGCTAAAACTAACTGGAAACCAGTTGGTAAGAAAGCTTAGATGGTATAATTTATAGGACCAACTTCAAGTACAGAACAGAACAGGGAGAGGGCCAGAAGTAGACCTAGTAGCAATCAGTCATAACCAGGCCAAGTGCCTACTATCTTAATTTGTACTGAACTATATGGTTAAAAGAAAGTATAAAGCAAAATATCTAGAGAGTAACTTTTCACTGAATGTCAATCATAGTAAAATAGTGAAAGTAAAACATGGCTATTAGGAACTAGGATCGTTAACTCTCAAAGAAGTCATTAAGAGGATTTGTTTTATTGGTAGGGTATGTAGATGGAAACTACTTTGCAGGAATCCTTCTGGGTTTTGATGAACCCACCCAAAGGAGCACCGGAGGTCACCTGGGCCT